TCAGTTTGCCCAGGCCAGGAAATGGCAACGGACAATCGAGCGTCCATAGTTCTTTCGGGGGTATCCACAGGTCCGGCACTCACCAGTGTATCGACTAATCCGTCATTTCTCCTGCTAAAAAAGAAACAAAAAGACAACTCACCTCAACTGCTCGGCGGGAGACGTTAAGGTACGTGAGCGTTCAACAGGTGCCCTAATGGAATAGCTAAGTCACTGCTCAACCCAGTAACCACTTCGTTCCAGCTTCGATCTAGGCCTAGTTTGAATGTCTGAACAGCAGGCAGTTCTTTTGGCTATTCTGGCATTCGTTTAATGACTAGTTGGTTCCTGATGTTAGTTAAAACCTGTCACTAACGTTTGCTCACGTTCGTTCTGGATATCCGTCCCAAGAAGAAACAGAACCAAGAATTGGGTTTGTAGAAACAATATATTCTGAAACTTCCGAAGCATTGGAAGTAACTTTGGTCATGCCTAGGTTGTTATTTGAGCAACGGCAGCGGTAACCTAAAAGTAGATCTAATCAATGCAAGAGAAGCGTGCAATACAAAGCTCACCGTGGGGAATTGTGTCTTTTTGGTTTTTTCGAGCTTAATAGAGCACGATAATAGTTAAAGCAAAACTTAAGTTTTGAAGTGTCCAAGTTGCTATATCTAATAAAAGCACTTCCTGTAGAAGATCGATACCGCCAAATAATGGTGATACGTGCTAAATATCGACGGTACACATCATTGTGCCCGGTAAATAAAAAGGATCCTTATGTTAGACAGGAAAGAGTAGCGGTGGTCTAGCTTTTGTTATTAATCTACTTGATCGATAGGCTAAGTCAATACAAGACATCTGAAACTTGATGTTTCTGATAAATATGTCACGGTTATTTAACCATGTGCCGAAAGTTTTCAATTAAACAGGACTGGTTGGAAGCTGAACCTGTGCTGATGCTAGTCACGAGTGTAGGGTGAAGTTGCTACTGGTCCGTGATTTGATGATCACTTCCAGCTTGAATGTATCTACTAGGAAACTTAGATAAAAACAAGGAGCAAGAAGAGAAAACTATCGGTTGAAAAACCGCTACATTGGTCTCCCCTATCAGGGTTTTGACAAGCAAACTTCGATCAAACAGCTAAGCTACCGAGTTTTCATTTTGCCAGTTCGTCGAACTTAGTAGTTTGCTTGCAAACGTTTCATCACTAGCCTAGGTGACATCATCAGTGCTTGTGAAGTGGCAGCGAGTTTTGGAGACACCACCACAAGGTGGTGTCTGTGGTGAAACCAAAAATCAGGTGTTATAACTGTGACTACAAGGGCCCCTGCTTTCCGCCGCACGTTGGTCTAAAGTGAAACCACCCGTGGGTTACCTAATAGTGTGAAGGAGGTGGATCCTCTATGTATATGTTGAACAGTTTTTTCCAGTTTATGGTGAATGGTGAAGGCTAATCGGTTTATGCATGACTGGATGAAATGTGAACAGGAGATGAATTCTTCGACTGTTCCCAGAAATAATTACTTTCCAGTTTATGTGTAAATGTTCGACGAGCGCACGTAATGATGAAATGTAGTATGATTGTATGAAGCTGTGAATGTTTGTGCCAACGTGCAGCAGAGGGAAGTTGTTTGATCTGGAGTTAGTTTCTTGGGGTGGGAAGATTCCACGTCGTCGAAATTACAGAGTGTCGCACCGGTGGACGACAACAATGAGATAAGGAGCAACGTCCCCCTCGTCCTAAGCCATCTAGGCTATTGGTTACAAAAAATTAAGCGCTGTGAGATGCAAGGTGCAAGATGTACAAAGCGGCAGAATATTGCCAATCGACAAATTAGAATGAAAAAATGTCTTGCAATACTAGTGCTGTTCCTGATGCGAATAAAAACGTCTCTCGGCTCTACGGTGTAAAGAGAAACTGAGTGCTGTTATAGTAACGTAAAATAAGTGAATCAATAAACAGATACGCCTATGACAGGCAAAAAAGTTCTTTTTGTTTGTTTTTGCATATATAATTTTTTCTATCTTGGGTCTCAGGCGTAGCACCTGAGTGGGTAGCAAGCTTTCTGACGACTTGCTCTATTCATCCTGCTTATGTCCCCACAAGAATGATGATTTCAAGTTCACAAGGTTGTCTATTGGGGTCGGTATTCTCTTTAGGAGATTGTTAGCTGCAATCTCGGTTCTCAGAAGGACAAGGATGCTTTCGACTGTCTCTGTGACCAGACATATTTGTCACTCCTCGTCCTCCATGATATCTTCAATTACCACTATTTTTGACATTTTATTTGTTCCGGTCGTTAAACGTCGATTTCTCCCTGTCGGTCAGTCAGTTTGCCTAGGATAGGAGACGGCCAGGGCCAATCGAACGTCTAGAGTTCCCTTGGTAGTAAGCCAGGTGTTGCCCCCAACCACTGCGAGTGTTCTAAAATGTGGTTCTTCACATTTTGCGTCCATCCCAGTCATTTCCGCCTCTTTAAGAGAAGAGAAAACTTTAGAAGAAAGGCCTCAGTTTGAAAGCTTTCTCCTGCAGGGGTGATTAGTAAATGGAGGAACTTATCATTGTTTCCAGACCTTAACCTATGCCTCTATTTCGGGAAATAAGTTAAGTCAGGGTGCATTAAACAGAGAGTGTGCTGGAAACATACAAAACGGATTCGGAGGTTGACTTACTCATGGAGATTTTTACTCATGAACGTGCAGTCACTCTGACAAATCCGCATTCCAGCAACAAAAAAACGATTGCATATCAAAATTCACACAAAATAACCACAACGGGACTATACTATTTTCGCATTAAGAAATCCCTAGAATGAAATCAGTAAAGCCTGCGTCCCCATCAAAGTTATGGACAAAGCATTCAAATGCAATCAAACGACTAGAACGTACATTGTCCGTGTCAGGCTACCATTTTGTGAAGTTGGATGCAGATTTTTCTCTCCATGAGATTGGCGGTCAGCGGATAACAAGAGCATCCAGATTAGATCGTAGCAGGATCTCAACATTCGGTCGGCTTACCTCACCAAGTTACAACCGCATTTTCACAGCTGCCTCCAATTTTGGCCGGGTTGCGACCTCCAATCAAACTTTCGAACTCAGTGGAAAAAATCCGAAGGATTTATCTAACGCTGGTGAAGTTGAGGACAGCTGTTTTCATAATTCCAGTCAGGACAGTTTCTCGGTTCACCACGGCTCCCATACTTTGCCCATCGATAATGGTGATCAACATTCTGTTGATTCTTCTGCCTTCTCCTGTGATCGTCCACAGATCCCCTCTATATCAGTGATTAACCCTACCTCTTCGCATTGTGGCCTCCGTACAGCGCTGTTGAATTCGCCCGGCAGATTGCATGCAATGCTTAACAATATTCCGGGTCCTACACTTAGGCGATCAAATGTCATTCGGTCTTTTCCGCAGAATGACTACAACACTCCCAGATCTCCGACCGAATTAAATCGCAGTTTAGTTATCTCTAAACGACCAGAACACAACACCAAGTCCAGTTTGGCGAAAGACAACTTTAAAAATGCGCGGAACTTCCAGTCCTCCAAGACTTGAAAGGATACCCTCCCGATGTCCCCCCTGAGCAACCTGACTGAAGCGCACCGATCCTCCTCTTCCCATGCATTATCCGCCGCCTTCTCCGTTGGTTCATGGTCACGATTGTCCGTGAACCGACCGCCGTCACCCGTACCGGCGTTACGTCGTATGGCCAGTGATTCATGTGTGTAACGTACAGTTGCTTCATAATAATCGGTCAGACAACCGCATTCACCTGACTATCAGGATGAGCGCTCATCTGTTCCTATTGGTCCTCGCCGATTGTAATTGAAAAAGCGAAAGTTCGATTAAGATCAGGTCACTTCAGAAGGTTTTTATAAACGGACCGTGCACCGCCCGTATAACTTGTCATAACGTTTTCCGTCCCCGTTCAGTGCACCAACTTCAGTCAATGCGGTAATAACTCCTACATCATCAACACCAACGGCCTCAATGAAAACTCAACTGATTAACGGTGGTTTGACTAAACCTAGCCCACCGATCAACGATCAGCCGTTGGATCGAACGGTTTCCTTATCGTAGGCCTATAATATAAGTATACAAGCCGTGGTTCCATGAAGCGCACCTCCCAGTGTGCCACCGTTTACTCCAGACAACGCTAGTATCACAGATTATGAAGAATCGGTGGATCATCATCCTCTTAGTATCCCGTCTAGCCTGAGCGCATATCACATTCCGAGTGTGGTGAAACACATCAGCACAATAATCAATTGATTATCTCAGAGTCCTGCTGTCAATCTATTTTCGAAGTGCGCCATTCAAAGAACCCCAGACAAACTAGACGCAACACTATCCAACCAGACTTCAGATAGCTTACAAAATCTACCAACCGCGACTGCGTCTAGCCCGGTTGATAGCATAAAATCTAGGTTACTCTCAGTTGTCTTCGCTTATGCAAACCCTCACTCGTTTCGGTCTGACCGTGAGCCCGACGGACGCTGTCTTGTCCACGTCACAGCCACAAAAAATCACAAACATTCTGTTTGCCGATGTCAACAATGAACTGTCCGGATTGAACTCTTCTAATCAAGTTGATGGAGTTCGATGGAAGTCCGGAAAACCAATCAAGACCAACGGATAGAGAATCGTTCGATCTAGATGCGGCACCACATGAATCTAAAGGGGTTGACAACGGGACTCCTTGCTCAGTGGCTGTTTCAAATGCAAATCATCGGTCTGGATCAACAGGAATAAACGGCCTGGTTTGACCTCGTTTGGCCAGTGAGTTGGATTTTGAGGTGAATGGTAACCGTCCAACCAAGTCATCCAATAGATCTCTGCAGTTGAACGAATGCTTTTCAAATCCTTTAGAAACAACCGCTCCACGTCAATCATTCAGAATGAATAAGGGGTTCAGTACAACCGAATAGAGTTCCCGATGCCTTGTCTTAGAGTCCTGTACGGCATCCACCAACCCCCTACCTTTGGCGTGAAGCATTGTGTATGGACATTGTTGTTTCATAACAGTCGAAGCAATCCACATCGAATAAAGTTCATCACGAACACTTCTGCACTCCATTTGTCACAGTCAGAACCATGTAATTCGATAACCAATGGAGACGTTACTTGGTCCTGCCAACCACCTCCTACCACTCCGACCACATTTTTAACCACAGCTCTCGGTGCTAAGATCCTCATGAAGCTCTCCCATTTCAAATAGAACAAGCCCATATCAACCACAATTGACCCGGCTTTACAAGCCGGCCTTGCGGGCAAATTCTTCTTCGTGTCTGTCATTTCTTCGGCTAGCGCATCAACTCTGGCCGCTGCTGCTGCCATAGTCATTGTTGCACCTCCGACAAGTCTCGTTCCGGTCCCTGTTTAAGTTGGAAATTACGTGTCCTCTGAGGCGGTTAGAATAAGCGCAGAACGGTCTCCCGATTCACGTCAGTCGACGCNTCGACGCGATCTGGTGTATATGATCAAAGTGACCGTGAAGACGGATTCGCAACGACAACTCCTCAACATCCTGTACTTTTATTCTGCCCTACCGATAACGAAAAAAACACAAACAGTAAAACACCGTTGGAGAGGAAATTGTGCTTACTTGTTTCTGCCCCACCTATGGCACTACCTAACAAAAACGTCAATGTCCAAAACGACCAACGCAGTTATAAGAAGCCCATAATCGAGTCAAACCTAGTCCTGGCTTTGGATGCTACTCATCGCTCCCCGCTGCAACCCACCGTGATTTCACACATCAATTGGTGGCTGTCCCCCTCACATTCGTTGTTGCACCGGAGCATCACGAGCAAAAGCCATGATCTCCATTTGGCCATGTGGATTTTTGTTCTATTTCCACATCCACCACTATGTAAAACCATCCTAGGAATTTGAATAGACTGCTTCTATTCTCAGCTAATTTTTTCATTGCCGGAGATTTCTAGCAATTATGTTTTTTCGTTCTCTTAACTCATACAGCCCCTGTCAGTTTATTTTGCGTTCAATCCTCCTGCATTGCTTTTCGGAATTCGTGGATTTTCAAATTGACATTCATGGTTGTCGCGCCATTTTCTTTCCCGGATTTCTAGGATCGTTTGTGCTTGTCATTTTGCACACACTTTCTCACTTTGTGTCAAATCTGTTACCCACATATAGGGGGTTTGTCCTCCTTGATTTATGTTCTCAATATGTTCATGCGCCCATAAACAAATGCTCCAAAACAAACATTTATCTTTGCTCCCCAAAGGTTCATCCAATTCATCGGATAAGTAGAAATTTCAGCGCTCCGGGAATAGATTGACGCAGACTTCACGCCCAGGATAATACATTTGTAAGACTACTAGTTGATCTTGTAGCAGAAATGCCATGGTCTCAGCAAGTTACACGCTCAACCAGATTCTGGAACGGGCAATCCCCTTGACTGTGGGACCTTACCATAACAATTTATAGTTGCCTCACCGACACAATACCACATCATTGCCCTTCAGTCAAGTGTGACATCAGTGTGCTCTCATTAGATGTAATATTCAACAGGACCAGCTACTTCATACCGTGTCGTAGACAGATTCATTCCTTTAAAAGGAAAAACTTCAATAACTTGAGGCATTTCCTTCAAGCTCATTTCCTACAAACGAATAAGATAACCTATCTTGATCTTCTGAGTAGTACAATAGAGAAGTACATCCGCGCAGCCGATCATCTGCTAGCGCCCCACGTCCGTAACCCCCCTCAAAGAAACATCTCTACAGCGTGGTATTCTTCACCTACTACGGGGAACGTTTGCGGTTCTTTGCTAAGTACAAATTGACGGGTCTGACGGAAAATGACAACAGCTTCATCCGCGTTTGCAATTTATGCAAAGCGATCTTTATAGACTTTGCCAAAGCCCGATGTGACCTGACCGCTACTCTTTAGAACATACGCAGGAAATAGCAATGAACCCAGTTCATGGCTTGTCAGAAATCCTCTATCCTATCCGGCTTAATCAGCTAAATCTTTATCCTTTAGATATACTGCGTATCAGAGGGGGTCTATTGCTTCTGACTAATCTTTTCTCCTCAGGCCTAGTTGACCGTTTCTTCACATCTTCTAACCTGAAACATTTACGGCGACACCAAAGAAATCACTTCAAAAAGCGGCCAAGAACCTTCATTCGCTCCAATTTCTTCACCAACAGGGTATTCTCAGAATGGAATAGGCTTCCGCTAGGCATTGTGAGTTCCTCCTCAATACTTCCTCAAAATACTGCTAGATTCATATCTAGTGTATTTTATGTTAATTTTTTGATAGTCCTTCCCAACCCACAAACATTACATTGGACATAACTCTGTTCTTGCCTTGCTTGCTTACTGACGTATTCTCACTCACAAACACCCACAAAATTGTTTATCTGTTGACTCGACACCCGCCACATTTCAATTTGACGGGGATAAAGAACGTGATCGTTCCGTTGGCAATTGTAGAATATCCTACTTGGTGATCGAATGCTTTAGTGCTTTTGGCCGCACATTCGAGATTTGCTTTATTCTATATTTTGTAATGATTTTTCTAATTCAGTAGCGTAGAACATTACAAATCAATTGTTTCATTTCGGGATTCGTATCAGTTTCGGCTACACGTCACTTAATTGCGGTTTGGTTGACGTACACCTAGTACAGTCCAGTCTTTACAGGACGAATGATAACCCTTGCCAATAAAGCGTCCAGGTTATTGTGTTGTCGGTGGCTGTTCTTGGCTCCCAATGCTGCGTTTTCTGAGTTTCTTTTATCAGGTGTTCTCATTTGGAGCTGTAAATAAAAAACAAAACATGTGAAGTGGTTCATAAGGCGACAGTTTTGCAACGGCAGTTTATTTTTCTTGTGTACTCCTTTTCTCTAAGGTTCGTGATAGATCCATTCAAGCTGAACGTGATTGTCAAATCACAGACTAGAAGTAGTTTCAACTTGCGCTGGTGTCTAGCATCAGAACATGTTCAGTTTCCAAAGAGTCCTGTATAGTTGAGGACTTTTAGGATATGGTTACATAACCATGACATACTTGTCGGAATCATCCAGTTTCAGATATAAGGTAGCGACTTAGCCTGTCGATCAGGTAGATTAGTTATAAAAGATAGGCCACCGTTAATCTCTTCCTTCACACCTCAAAGCCCTTTCCCACCGGGAACAATTAAGTGTGCCGTTGAGCTTAATCATGAATCGCCATTATTTGGCAATAGTGATCTTCCAGGGAAAGTTTCTGTGACATGTGTCAACGTTGATTATGCCATCGATCTATTCTCCGTCTCACTCTCAGACAAAGACCTGTGTTTACGTCACTCACATACACATGCACACATGCGGGCGCTCGCCCGCTCGCACACGCTCACAGGCACCACGACTCCTTCCCATTGGTTGACCTGTTAGTCATTGTCTTACTGTAGATTGTCGCGCGACGCATGATTCATTCAGTAAAGCTACGTGCTCTGGACTATACGTGTTCTGTGCCTTGTCCTCCGGGCTAACTAAGGGGTTAACCTCATTGAGACTGTAACAGTTTCTTTCTTATATAAAGTAACCTGAACATTTCCAGGACCAGCTTTAACTATTATCGAGCCTTTTTTAGCTCAAAAAGAGCGCACCGGCACAATTTTTCACGATCGACTTTCAGATTTCGCTGCCGTTGCCTAAATAATAGCCTAGGCATAGCCAAACGTACCTCCAACATTTCGGAAGGTTTAGAATATAACGTTTGTTCAAACCCAATCCTTGGTTCTGTTTCTTCTTGGGACGAATATCCGAAAACAATGTTAGCAAATATTAGTGGCAGGTTCCAACGAACATCAGAAAGCACCCAGACACTAAAGATGTCATCGATGAGAAACCTTAGTTTTCGAAAACATACCGGTTTCAGGTACAGTTTCAGGGCCCGGGTCAGTAGTTTGGGGTTGCAATTTACCTGTCCCTTAGTGACGATACATTACCACCTAATCACTGGGAATATTTCCGGCTAACACGCATCCAGTCCTTCCTTGAAGTTGTGCACATTAGTGTAGTTGACCTAGGGATCGCCCTTTCCCAGAACTGGTTAGCCTTCATCTTCTGGAGAACCCCACACTTTCTTCTGCTTGTCCCTCTTACCCTTTCTTTCATCATCTGTTTCCTCTTCACACTTTTCCCCAATGCGTGCAACCTTCGCTCCCCATCATCCTCGCATGAATTTGCATCCTTTTCCGTTAACCTCCTTTTCACCTCGTGAACCGAAATGTAGAAAATAAGAAAATTACAGATCCGGACGTGTTGGGAGCAAGCGCTCAGCTGATAGATTACTCTTTCTTCTTTTTTAAGTTTTTATCCCCTCGTATTCTCAACGGATCTAATAATTGACGCTATCGTTGACGCCACCTCGCTGTTTATATTATCCCTGCTTCTATTTCTTCTTTCCCAATCATGTCTATCTCACTTCCCAGTACAAATTCTCGCCTGAATTCCTCCCTGCAACGTTGGATTTTGCAGGCTGATCTCTTTTATGATTTACTTGATGAACAGACCACCCGTTAAAGTGCTTACAGATAACAACTATTAGCCTGCACGCACGAAGTGGAATAAGTGTCTGCGGGTCGGGACATTCGGGCAAGAGTCAAAGGAAAAAACGTTTTGCTTGGAAGCGCTCTGCTGCACCACAAATTCACTTCAGGTACCTTAGAGCTCGAGATACAGCCGTCAGCATTCAAAGGAGTTATAAGCTGAAATAAAAGTTGGCTCTGACGCCACGTGCAAAACCATGTCCCAGAGCATACTTCAACTATTTTCAGTCAAATGGAAGCATGAGAGTAACCGTAGGTAATGTACTACTTGTGTCAGGAGAGTATGCAACCACACCTAATCAGAAAGCTGAAGCTCTACTAAATTTCTTCAGCACTATTTATGGAGAGGACAGCGGTACACTTTCAGGAGAGTCTAGGCCCCTCTGAATAGTGCAGATGGAACACCCTACGATATCCGCTGAAGAAACAGCGACGATTTTAAGGGAAATTGATAAGCATAAAGCTGCAGGACCGGACGGAATTCATCCTTTAGTTCCATCCCCTTTAGCTGATATCTTGGCACATCAATTCGCTAGACTGTTTAACAGATCATTGGAAATCGTAAAATACCTTAGGAGTAGCGGATAGTGGAGGTGATACCGATCCATAAAGGCAGCAGTTGGGACAATGTTGAGAATTACCGAACCGCAAGCCGCCTTCTGTTGGTGCTTTAAGTTATGAAGAAATGCATAAGGAAAGCACTAGCAAACCACTTNGTCACACAGCGACTCAGACAACCCTCATAACATGGGTCTGTTGGTGGTAGATCATTTCTTAAGAA